GGGGGGCGTGGAATTGTCAATTGATCCTCTTTGGCTTTTGCCATAAGAAAAGCCTTATTTATAGGCTACTGGCTTTCTCTCATTTGTTATGTGGTTTTCTTTTTCTTTTCATGCAGTGATCACAACATAATGTTCATTCAGAAGTTCTGACAGTATTTAATTTTTGGAAGAATATTAAAATCATACCTTTCTCCTTTAAAATAGGATTTGATCGATACTTTAGAAGCCGAACTCTTGCCAATAATCGAAGAAATGTGTGGTTTGCAGAATTTTGGGAGGAGAATTTTGGCTGCAAGTTAGGATCACATGGGAAAAGGAACAGTCATATAAAGAAGTGCACAGGTAACCACTCAAATATTTTCTGTGGTGTATTTGTTTTCATCATTACCTGATAAATGAGATTTTTCTACATGATGATGAGTGTATTTTCTATTTTGTTGTGTCTCTTGTTATAGTGTCTCAGCAGGGCTGAACATGTACTAATCATTCAACAAACTTAAATTTGTTTATTGGTTCTTTCAGTCAATCAGCAAGTATTTATTGAACATATGCCATGTATATAGCACTGGGGTATCTGGAAAACATGTATTGTCTACTTTGGAAAATGTACTTTGTTAGGTTTGATGGAATATAGACAAATAAACAAGACATAGTATTGCTCTCCAGGAGTGCAAAATGTAATATGTAACATAATAAGTTGTTCTAAGACAGTATTTTTCAACTGTTTTAATCTCTGTCCTCTGTAATACTATTATTTTCTCAAATCCTGCATAGCAGCTATCCCAGAACATGTGTGATTTTTTGATGCTTCACTTGCCATAGCTTATGCTTAAAAATAATGATATTGAATGTGCATTTTTGAATATATGAATAAAACTATTTATTATTAGATAATATGATTGTGCACATAGGAAAAAAACACATAATTTTTTTTTTTTTTTGAGATGGAGTTTTGTTCTTTTGCCCAGGCTGGAGTGCAGTGGCACAATCTCAGCTCGTTGCAACCTCTGCCTTCTGGTTTCAAGTGATTCTCCTGCCTCAGCCTCTTTAGTAGCTGGGATTACAGGTGCCCGCCACCACGCCGGGCTAATTTTTGTATTTTTAGTAGAGATGGAGTTTCACGATGTTGGCCAGGCTGGTCTTGAACTCCTGACCTCTTGATACGCTTGCCTTGGCCTCCTGAAGTGCTGGGATTACAGGCACAAGCCATCGTGCCCAGCCCAGAATCACATAATTTTAACAGTTACTTAGAACTGAGTAGTAAATTTATCAACGTTACAGATATGAAGTCAATATAAACATTCATTTTTAATATGCATGTTAGAAACTAACACACGGAAAATGAAATTTAAAGAATACTGTTCATAGCAGGATCAAAAACATACAACATTAGGGTCGATTTTAACAAAAATGCACATATCCTTTACACTGAAAACTACACAACTTGAATGTGTGTTTTAGAAATGATTCATTCCTTCCTGTACCCCAGGCATCCCCAGATTTTGATATGTCCTTCTTTACCCTCCTCCTCACTTTCTTTGTAAATAGCTGTTCAAATAAAAGATGTACTATGCTAAAAGCTAGCACAGACATATAAACAGAGACAGAATAAGGAGGTAGAAATGGGGCCACGCTGTGTGGGAATCTGATTTCAGGCTTCCTGTGTGCCAGGCATTTTTCCAGGAGCCGAGGTGAGTGAAGAAAGGCAATATTCTTGCTCACGGGGCTTACATTTCATTATGCAGAGATGGACACACCATAATAAACATAAATGAACAGATGCGTTCAGATGCTGAGCTATGCTTAGAACAAATACAACAATTTAACTATGAAAGACTAACCTGGGCATTAGGAGGAGGAAGGCAATTAGATAGTGTGGTCTGAGTGTGCTTTGCTAGAGGAGGTAGCATTTGAGATAAGACCTGAGTGACAAGAAGTGGTCAGCTGTGTAAAGATATGACAGAAATGTATGACAATATCTAGCACCAGAATAAGGCTCTTTTGTTCGAAGTAAAGAAAAAAAAGAAAAGAAATGTTCAGAGAGGTTGGATCAAGAGTGAATATCGAGAGAGAGGAAGCTTGATGGCAGCCAAGGCTATAGTTATAGACTGGAGCCAGGTCATGCATGGTCTTGAAGCTCTTTCTAGAAGTTCCAGAGTTGAGGAATTTGGGCTTTATTCTGCCAGTAGGACACAATGACTTGAAGCTTTTCATCTAGAGAATTGCTAAGACACTTGGTTCAAGATTTGCCTGGCAGAGGTGTGAGGAGGATTGGGGTTCAGGGGAGAAGATGAAGGCAGTTCACTGAGAACTCATCCAGTATCCTGGAGACAAGAAGTCATGGTCTAAGAAGAGCTAGCTAGGGGCTGGGTGTGGTGGCTCATGCCTGTAATTCTAGAACCTTGGGAGGCCGAGACAGGCAGATTGCCTGAGCTCAGGAGCTCGAGACCAGCCTAGGCAACACGGTGAAACGTTTAGTCAAGACGATCTACTAAAAATACAAAAATTAGCTGGGCATGGGAGCAGGCACCTGTAATCCCAGCTACTCGGGAGGCTGAGACAGGAGAATTGCTTGAACTTGAACCCAGGAGGTGGAGGTTGCAGTGAGTGGAGATCGCACCGCTGCACTCCAGCCTGGGTAACAGAGACAAACTCCATCTAAAAAAAAAAGAAAACCAGCTAGCTAGGGATAGGGATAGAACACACACAGGACAGACACACTCTGGTAGTTAGTGTTATATTTATAGTACAAGCTGAGTGGTTGATGCTGGGGCAAAGATCATAAGTCATAGAGTATGCTGATGTTAAACCTCTATCAAGGAGGTCTAGGAAAATGGTGATGTAATTAGTTAACAGAGGAAAAATGAGATAAAATGAACCATCCAGTATTTGGAAATAAACTTGAATGTTCTGAGATAGCCCCATGGAACTGGCCAGCAGGTGGCAGCATAATGTCTGGGACCCCACAGAGAGTTCACTAAAATTTGAAATTAGGGAATCTTAGAGATTTTGAAGTTAAAGACAAGAGCAAAGATGCAATTGCCAAAGGGGACTGAGAAAATACGAGGAGTGATGACTGAGAATTCAAGGCCAGGAACCAGGAAAGGACACAGAACGCTGGGTTTGCGGGAAGGAGATGAACGTGGAGTTAAGGTTGTCTCAATCTCCAGGAGCAAGACAGGTGCGTGAAGTTTCAGTGCTGCAGGGACCTGTGGCCCAGAGATAAGGCTGTGACAGGGTAACCAAATGGGAGGGATTGAGAGAAACAGAATAGAGGAAATGGTGGAAGGGATGCTATGTCAAGAAGTTTTCAAAGTAGATATGGTGGGAGAACTTAAGAAAGAATCGAGGAGATTTCTTTAGGATAGGGCAAGTTTAAGCATGTTTTCAAAAAACATATAAGGGATAACTAGTGAAAGAGATTAAATACAGAGTAGGATCTTGATGGAAACTTTAAGGAGAGGCATTAAAGAGCAATGTTACCTTTAAATCATGTGATTTGCTTGGCAGGAAAAGGTACATACAAACATATACATAATCAAAGAGGACAGTTTTATGATTAAATGCTAAATGTCAGTATAGATTAGGGAAGTTCAGAAAATGTATGTAAGTTCACACTGTAAAATCCGCAGCTCTGTGGAGGAGGTGAGTGTTTGATGACAAGAAGGATTTGGGAAAGAACATTCCAGATGAGAGGAAAGTGGGGGTCAGTGCGACAGAGACGTGATATGGAGGTGCATGAACAGCTAAAAAGGTCCAGCTTCTTGGAGAGGGCGATACATGTCAAGGGATAATGGAAAATAGAGAGGGGACAGTTTATAGAAGGGTTTGGAAGGGGAGTTTACACACTTATGTGCTTTCCAGTGAGATATATTTTACACTGTGCTTAATTTTGAGTTATGAATGTTATTGTTTGATTCTCTATAAATTCATTTTCTGTTATTTAGACTGTATTCATGAAAATATCCCCGTTAATGAAATGGATGAACTCATACATGCACACACACTGTTAACCAGTCACATAACTTTTTAATAGGTTGTTTTCAGAATAACCAGTTTCTCCAAACTTATATTTTCTTTCTTTCTTTTTAACTCATAAGTGGGAGTTGAACAATGAGAACACATGGACACAGGGAGGGGAACATTGCACACTGGTGACTGTCAGGGTGTTGCAGGCAAGGGGAGGGAGAGCATTAGGCCAAATACCTAATGCATGCAGAGCTTAAAACCTAGATGGCTGGTTGATAGGTGCAGCAAACCATGGCACATGTATACCTGTGTAACAAACCTGCATGTTCTCCACATGTATCCCAGAACTTCAAGTAAAATAAAAAACAAACATACTCATATTTTCTAAGTTGAGCTGAGGTATGTAGCTGTTTCTTTAGCGTCTATATATGGTCAGATGGCATGTGACTAGACTTTTATTTCAGGTGCAAATACTGAACTGGTTTGTGGCCAAATCCAGATTTTGTGGCATGTCTGCCTTCAATTCCTTTGATTTATTTGGGTGTTGCTAAAATTATAACAATTTGCCCAATTATAACTATTTCTAGTGCAATGAAAATGGTGTTTACTCCAAGTGCTAGGGCAAATGTACCCCTAGGGAACTGGGTCAGTAAACAGATTTTCATGCAAATTCCATTGTGGGTAATACCAAAATAACTTGTCTCTGGGTTGAGAAGAAATAAGTAACACTAATTTAATTTTTTTGAAGCAACATATGACAGTTTCCAGATGGTGAGAGAAGAAATTTTTGCCCCAAATTATACCATTATACCCAGTTTCCATCTCTGTTTTTGGGGAGGAGGGAAGATGATCTAGCATGTTAGCAGTTAAATGTACTTGAAAGGAAAAATCTACAGGATATTCATGAGTAGAGGTGTCCAGCGTTTGTAAAGTGTTTTAAAAGGTGGGCTTAAACAGTTCAGGTTTTAACTACCTGCAATTAGTCAAAAAGTTAAGGCACTCTGAAAGTGAGATATCCATGAGGCCCTTTTTGTGCATTCAGAACATCATTGGTAGGTTTATACCTGTTGAGTAAAATTTTACATTAGGTGACGGTAATCTGTGAATGTACTTATTTACTTCCATTGGGGGCAATATTGGCAATGTATTTACATGGATGAGAGATTGCTTCTCAGCAGGGTGGGGTTTCTGTCTTACCAATTTTCCGCAGATAGAATATCTTCAAGCAGTTAGGAGCATTCTCTTTGTGAAATTTACTCAGTTGAAGCCGTTTTCTGAGATAATTTTCCCCTCTAGAATCTCAGGAAAGCTTTCAAAAAGACGTGATATTACTGCTAACTTTTGATTTGCTGGCCAAATTCCAAGTGAGGTAA